TCGGAAGGATGGAAGGCTGAGTCAACCTTGAGCCCGTCAGAATCAAACTGCTGGCAGTGAGCAGAGTTAGCCCGCAATACTGCATTCTAACCACTGCGCCACCACAGTTTTTATGGTGATACTGCCTTTTCTTTCTTGGGAACAAGATATGATGAAAAAAGGGGTAGAATAAAAATGCTGTCATTTGATCCTCTGAAAATTTCAGAAATGAGGTAGGCTTCATTTGGGAAAAGGCTGGTGGTAAGATAAGATTGATGGGGAATCAACATGCCAGATTCTGGTTCTGTATACAAGTCATAGTGCAGACAATTCCACCTTCTATTAGAAAGGGCAGCTGCAATATTTAAACCCTGGGGTGTTATTTTATTGTGTAATGAAGGACACCGTGGTTTAGCAGATCACGAATATTTTCAGAATGAACGTTAACACAGTTGGATTCAGGAAATCTTAGATACATGCAACAATGATAGGTATGAATGTAATAGTTCATGTTGGTTCAATTCATGAAATTCTGCACTGGATCAGAATGGATGTCTGTAATGATTTGGTATAATTTTGCATGCTGAGCCTAAATCTCATAGTGTTAAGAAAGCCCGGGTGTATTCAGTAGGTGTTTCCACCTCCTCATTATGTTGTCAGAAGTATACTCTTTGTCACAGCATGCAATAAGGCCATGCAAAGCATCTTAAAGAGAGGCTTCACAAAGTGTTTTGGTCTTAGGAAACGGACCTATCTCAAAAGCATTAAAGAGCTTGGGCTGCTAGAAAAGCTGTTCTCAGTTAGGACCCATCTTCTCTTCTGCTGAGAATGCTAGCAAAGTAAAGCATCATTGGATGTACATGCGTCTGAAGGCATCTGGGGACAGTTCAAAGCAGCCGCATGAGTTTCTAAACAATGCGGCTGCTTTAATATTCTGAAAAGGGAAGCTTTGGGCATGGCACTGCGTTGTGGCAAATGTCTCCTTCAACTCTTTTGTGGATTGTAACTTCTACATAACTTTCAGAGAAGCGTCTGTAGAGATTCTCAGTCTTCCAGGTCATGGTTGTTGTTGTGTCCTGAGCCTGCAAGAGCTGACAGCAGGCTCAGAATTGTTGCAAATGGTCCCGGGCAATCCCAAAAGCTGCCCGGGACCAGACAGAGTGGCGCCAGCCTTGTGTGCATGCGCAAGGCGCAAAAAGGCTAAATTCCTATTGGTTCACACTGTCCGGGTTTCAGGTACTATAAAAGGCCTGCGTGCCTTTTGCTGCTTGCTTGGTCGTAGGAGTGTGTAATAAAGAGTTTGTTGCTTTTCACCATGCGTCTTCATCAATTGCTAGCGAACCGAAAACATAACAGTTGTCCCAAAGGTGCTTTTTCAAAAGGCAACTGGAACTTTCTTGGTTTTCCCGTGAAAACGTTTCGCTTCTCATCCGAGAAGTTTCTTCAGTTCTGACTGAATGACTGACTGAATCCTTCTATCCCTCCACCATTCAGTCGGGACTGAAGAAGTTTCTTGGATGAGAAGCGAAATGCCGTCAAGGAAAAACGAAGAAAATCCAGCTGACTTTTGAAAAAAAAAAAAAAAAGCATCTTTGGGATATCAGAGAACTGCAAGAGCAATTCCACAAAACTAATTCTACCTGGCATTCTTATCTTTGAAAAAAAAAAAAACCTAAACTCAGCTGGATTTACTTCCAAGAAAACACAAGGAAGGAACACAAGACACCCAAGAATATACAAGTAGCTTTGCTGCAGCTGACCACAACTGTCTAACAGTGTGCACGATGTACATCATTTCACACCTGGGTGGGCAGCTTTTCCTTGCTCAGTGTATCACTGAAAGAACAAAGGAGCCTAATACATTTATCAGTGGGCACCACAATTGTGTTGACGAAAATGCAGGGTATGGAATAGTGGGTTTAAATTGAAGAGAGGCAGATTATGATTGAATGCTAGGGAAACAAAATCATGTTAACAGTAAGAGACGCTTACGGAGGAACCAATTACAAAGCCAGGTGATACCTTCCCCTTGGTTGGAGGGGATCAAGCTGAGTAGTTAACTCTTCTGGATACTTCAATTTGGATTCCACCAGGGTTTGAGTTCAGTAGCCTCAATGGCCTCTTCCCCTCTCTAAGATTTTACTTTCCCTCTGGCACTTTGCAAACCTGAGAAGTACGATGGAGAAGGACTAGGGGCAAACTGCAGCAAGAGTCCAGGTGGTTCTTGACCACAACTGAGACCAACATTTCTATCGCTAAGCGAGACAGTTGTGAAGGGAGGTTTGCCCCATTTTACAACCTTTGTTGCCACAGTTCTTAAGCGAATCCCTACAGTTGTTAAGTTAGTAACACGGTTGTAAAGTGAATCTGGATTCCCCATTAATTTTGCCTGGCAGAAGGTTGCAAAAGCTGTTCACATGACCCCTCTGGGACACAGCAACCATCATAAATATGAACCAGTTGCCAAGCATCTGAATGTTGATCACATGATCACAGGGATGCTGCAACGGTCGTAGGTGTGAAAAATGGTGGTAATAATAATAATAATAATAATAATAATAATAATAATAATAATAATAATAATAATAATAATAATAAACTTGGAAGGGACCTTGGAGGTCATCTAGTCCAACCCCCTGCACAGGCAGGAAACCTTATGCCATTTCGGACAAATGGCTGTCCAGTCTTTTCTTAAAAACTTCCTGTGTTGGAGCATTCACCGCTTCTGAAGGCAGGTTGTTCCACTGATCAATTGTTCTAACTGTCAGGAAGTTTCTCCTTACTTCTAGGTCAGTTTCCATCCATTGCTTCTTGTCCTGCCTTCAGGTGCTTTGGAAAATAGCTTGACTCCCTCTTCTTTGTGGCAGCCCCTGAGATATTGGAACACTGCTATCATGTCCCCCCTCGTCCTTCTCTTCATTAGACTAGACATTCCCAATTCCAGCAATCGTTCCTTATATGTTTTAGCCTCCAGTCCCCCCTGGTCATAAGTTACTTTTTTCAGTGCTGTTGTAACTTTGAATGGTCACTCAGTGAAAGATTGTAAGTCAAGGACTACTTGCATCAATTACCAGTTTGTATCTGGGTTCAGTTCAAGGTGTCAGTTATTACTTTCAAAGTCCTATTTGGCATGGGTGCAGGGTATCTTCATTCATTCATTCATTCATTCATTCATTCATTCATTCATTCCTATATGAGGAACCACTTAGCTCCAATTGTTCTAACTGTCAGGAAATTTCTCCTTAGTTCTAGGTTGCTTCTCTCTTTCGTTAGTTTCCATCTGTTGCTTCTTGTCCTGCCTTCAGGTGCTTTGGAGAATAGCTTGACTCCCTCTTCTTTGTGGCAGCCCCTGAGATATTGGAAGACTGCTATCATGTCACACCTAATCCTTCTCTTTATTAAACTAGACATACCCAATTCCAGCAACCGTTCCTTATATGTTTTAGCCTCCAGTCCCCTAATCATCTTTGTTGCTCTTTTCTGCACTCTTTCTAGAGTCTCAACATCTTTTTTACATCGTGGTGACCAAAACTGGATGCAGTATTCCAAGTGTGGCCTTACCAAGGCATTGCAAAATGGTATTAACACTTCACGTGATCTTGATTCTATCCTTCTGGTATATCAATTAGGTTAGAAAGTTCTTGCTTTAGTCTGGAAAGATTCTGTCTATTAGGATGTCCATTTTTTTATTAGCAAATTTTTAAAAAAACTGAGGTGTTCTTTGTGCTCTCTGACCTTGTGTTTTCTTGTAGACATTTCATTACCCAAACTAGGTGATGTCATCAGTGCAAGTAAAAAACTGGTTGATTTCACTGTGTTGTCTTTGAGCTTGAAACTGACAGAGGCTTGCAGCATTGGTGGGCCTAAACTGGATGCTCCTAACCACTCAGATATGACAAGACTGCACAATATTGAAGAAACCACCCCTGATCCTTCCATATTGCCTTCTAAGGACATCAAGTAGAAATATTTGATTCCTCTTTTCCATTGCAGGATGCAATCTGGGTCGGTCACCGGGACCAGAGGTTTTGTCTTCCGAGCTTTTGGACTTGTGATGGAGCCCATCCTCAGGGAAGTTCTCTTTGGCCAAGTGTGTGCTGTTCTGTGTGTGGTATTTATATGGTGCCTGTTGTATGTGGCTTTTTAGAAGTTGATTGGGGTGTGTTGATGGCTGACTATTAAGTCATTGGCTGTCATTTGCTTGTGCTGCCCAGCCCTTGCCTTCTAAGTCAGACATGTCAAACACAAGGCTGGATGCAGCCCGTGAAGGGTTTCATGTGGCCCGCGAAGCCATCCTGGAAACAGTGAGGGAATGGCCCCCTCTGCCTTGACCCTGGCCCAGGCCAGCCAGGAGCCAATATACAATTTTGTGGTGGCCATCTATGCTGAAACGTATTCAGTCTTAGCTCCATAAGCCCCCCCCCACTGCATGGCCTGAGAGGAAGAGTGAGACTTCTCCAGTGGACCATGCCTTGGCACTTGCCATGGTCCCACCCCCTTCTGCCAGAGACCCTCAGATCTATCCCACTCCTGCCCAGGCCCCCACAGGCACCCTTGACGCGAATGATGTAGAGCTGGCCACACCCACCCAGTAGGCCACACCCACTCCATCCATGCCCACCCAGTAGGCTGCATCCTCCCTGGCCACACCCACCCAGCCCCCTGAGGGCAACCACAATGCTGATGCGGCTCTCAATGAAATTGAGTTTGACACCCCTGTTCTAAGTACTTGATAACCTGGTGGTAAATCAGCACTTCTGTTGACTGACAAGGGGCCTGTTTCTCAGGCTTCACACCATGGCTGTTTTTGTGCCTGCTTGTCCAACAATCTTAGTAGCGGCAAAATTGAACAACGATGCAAGGTAAAAGTGTATTTCAGAATAAAACATTTCCTCTGCTCTGGAATTTCAAGTTTCATCTTGTTTCCCTAAAGTTAGATTTCTTAAATAACAAATGAACAGACCAAGTTGAGTCGATTATCTAAAAAAAATGAAATAATTTTATGAGACATTCAGGCATACCTGGTTTAGATCCTTCATCAACAGATCCATTATAGATTTGGTTTATGAATTCTGGCCTGTTGTCATTCATGTCGATCACATAAATGTAGAGATCAATTGGATTCTCCACTTTGTTTCCATTCATATCTACGGCATGTGCTCTGAGCTGTTAACAAAATAAGGAAAAAAAACCCTCTTTAATAAACAGAGAAGTCACTATTGTTTTATGGAATTGAACATCTGAAAAAGTATTTGGAAAAAAAAACCACCATTCAATCCTTTTAACACTCTAAATATTGCAGACTTTTGAATGTTTTCTAAAGGTTTTCTTTCTTTCATATACTGAAATTACCCAGCTAATTTTGGTAAGCACAAATGAGAGAAGATATGAAGCTTAATCAGCGTAGCTAGTTTAATGAACTTTTTATCATTTTGTTGACAATTATGACCTCTTAGAGATAGGAATCCTATCCTTCTTTGTCAGGTATACATGAATTTCACTGGTTGTATGACAGTTAGAACAATTAACCAGTGGAACAACCTGCCTCCAGAAGCTGGGAATGCTCCAACACTGGAAGTTTTTAAGAAGAGACTGGACAGCCATTTGTCTGAAATGGTGTAGGGTTTCCTGCCTGAGCAGGGGGTTGGACTCGATGACCAGGCAGTCCTCCACTTATGACCACAACCGAGAGCAGAATTTTCATTGCTTAAGCAAGTTGGTTGTTAAACACTCGATTTTACGAGGTGTTTTTTTTTTGCCACGGTTGTTAAGCAAATCTCTGTTGTTGTTAAATGAAGCGTTCAAATGGTGATCACATGATCTGAGGACACTGCAGCCATCGTAAATGCACACCAGTTGACAAGTGCCTGAATTTTGATCTCGTGCCCATGAGAACGCAATGAAGTCACCTTTTTTTCAGTTGTAACTTTAAACAGTCGCTAAATGAATGGCTGTAAGTGGAGGACTAACTTTATGTACGTCAGTGTATTTTTATCTGTAGCTGGGAAAAAAGAAACTAACAAGATGAAGAGGCATATGCTGGCATTGTGTGCAAATTCCACCCACACAATGGGGAAAAGTGACTGCACTTTGATAGATGTATTTCAAACTCTAGTTTATCTTTATTATTATACAATTATTAATATCATGATTGTGTTAATATCCTCATCTAATAATACTTTTGTGGGCAGAATACATTTGCAGAGAGCAGAGGCTCAGTTTTGATTATTATTTTGAGGGAGAACATTTTAATAACAACAATAACAATAACAATAACAATAATAATAATAATAAAGTTGGAAGGGACCATGGAGGTCATCTAGTCCAACCCACTGCTCAGGCAGGAAATCCTATGCCATTTCAGACAAATGGCTGTCCAGTCTCTTCTTAAAAACTTCCAGTGTTGGAGCATTCACAACTTTTGGAGGCAGGTTGTGCCATTGGTTAATTGTTCTAGCTGTCAGGAAGTTTCTCTTTTGTTCTAGGTTGCTTCTTTCTTTGGTTAGTTTCCATCCGTTACTCCTTGTCCTGCCTTCAGGCGCTTTGGAGAATAGCTTGACTGCCTCTTCTTTGGGGCAGCCCCTGAGATATTGGGACATTGCTATCATGTCACACCTAATCCTTTTATTTGAACTGGTCAAAATGAAAGACAAGTTATTTCTTCCCTGATTGGGATCATTCAGATCAGGGAATTCACCAGTCTCCTGGTTATTGGAAAAGTTGTAGACAGAAACTTGTTTCCATTGAAGATTAACCCAAAAACTATAAAGTTAAAAACAGTCAGTCAAGAAGATAGAAAAGTTGCTGAAATTTTCTTTTTTTCCTCACCCAGTTATCAATACGAACATCAAGAAGATAATATCGCCTTAGAAAAGCCATCTGCTTCTCTCTAAGTTTCTGTGGTTGCTTATTCTTCTATTTGTATATTGTATTTGAAGCAACTTCCAGGTTGTCATTTCTGTTATTATTCACACTAATACTAATTGATATCAAACACATTATTACAATGCAGAGCTCATCAATCTGTTGCAAATAAATAATGTGATGAACAAATGTAAAGTTGTTTTTAGTTTCTATCTGGTTTAAAACACTGACCAAGAATCTTGAGCCTCAGCTGCAAAATTATTTATCTGTTTAATTATTTGCAGAGCCTACTTATCTTTGCCCCATACCTAAAGTCTCTGGGCAATATATTTTCCAACAGAAAGAAAATGATTCCATAAAAGAGTTACATTAGAACAATATCACAAACCAAACAACCAACCAACAACCAGCAAACACAAAGATGAAACTCTAAATAAAACCAAGTATGAGTGAAGTGTTCCCTCTGGTAAAGATATAATAGCCTTCTTCATGGAAGCATCTGGCTGACAGCTGCAGGAAGCAAGGTAATTATTAATTTATTCACATTCTACATTTATTAAATAGTAATTTATATAGTACTTTTATGTAGCACCTGCATTCAGTAAGGACAATGTCTTAGTGCCCAAGGCCATAGCTGACACATTTGGGGTATGGATGAGACGATGTAAATAGTTATGTGGTTTCATAAAAAATGCCACTGGAATTCTTATATTTGTACTGAATTTTGGAATATTGCACGTATCTTAGGGCGTCCATTATAGCTTATTCTGATTCCCAGCCTCAAATGGCAGAAAATCAACCAGTATAGTAGTCCTCAACTTAACGACCACAATGGAGCTCAAAATTTATGTTGCAAAGTGAGACAGTTGTTAAATGGGTTTTGCCCCATCTTACGACCTTTCTCGCCACAGTTGTTGTGTGAATCACTGCAGTTGTTAGTCACATGGTTGTTAAGTGAATCTGGCTTCCCCATTTACCTGGCCTGTCAGAAGGTCATAAAAAGTGATCACATCAGCTGCAACCATCATAAGTATGAGTCAGTTGCCAAGCGTCTGAATTTTGATCATCTGACCATGGGGATGTTGCAATGATTATGTCATTTTTTACAGTGCCTGTTGTAACTTCCAATGGTCACTAAACAAACTGTTGTAAGTCGAGGACTATTTGTAGTTATCTGCAATTGTAGTTGGAAGGGCCAGAAGAAGGCAACTGCGTGACCATGGGACCATGACTGATCAACCCTGCTCCCCATAATGAGGACTGGCATCTTAATATCTTATTTTAGTTGTCTGTTTTTTGAAGCTTCCCGCATGTAGGATAGACACCTTAAGGGGGTCTACTCAGACATAGGCAGAGTTCCCTAAAGCTTGAGCATACACTGCGAAGGGATTGATGGGTAAGCCTAGATTGCAAATGGCTGCAGATGGGCAGATGTGCACTTCCTCCCAAATCCCAACTGTACATTGTGTATGTCCTGTCTGCTGATTGGTTGATCCAACTTCCTGTTCTGTGCTTTGCTGAGTGAGTGCCCCCAAGCCAGGAAGTTACATTTGCAGAAATATAAAGGGAACATTTATGCAACCATCTCTGAACGACCGATGCATGCATTCCTGAATGTGCACTGCCAGAGATATCTGCTCAGCCCTTCACTCTGGATCTCACTGAGAGTTTCATGACCTTAGCAACCTTGTCTGAAATGGTATAGGTTCTCTTGCTTGAGCAGGGGACTGGATTAGAAGACCTCCAAGGTCCCTTCCAGCTCCTATTCCAGTGGTGGCGAACCTATGGCACGGGTGCCAGAGGCGGTGGGCACACATGCCGTTGCCCTAGCCTTGCCTCTTCCCGTGACCCCCTCCTCACCAGCAGCCTCCCTGGAGGAGAGTCGCCCTTGAGCATGGCCCATGCGGAGCAGCGCAGCCAAGGACATGGCAGCCAGGCAGCGTAGACAAGACTGCCCTCATGCCCCAATGCGCACAGTTGATGCTGCAGGGCGTGGGCAGAGGGCGTGGCCGCCAAGGCGCTGCTGGGCTGCCTGAGCGATCTGTGGCGGGCGCTGGAGGCGGTGAGTAGCCCTGTGGTCAAGCAGGTTGGGACGGAGCAGGGGCGGGGCAGGGGCAGGGCAGGGATGGAGCAGGGGCGGGGCCAGTTTTTGGGCACTCGGTCTCTAAAAGGTTCGCTATCACTGTTCTATTCTATTCTATTCTATTCTATTCTATTCTATTCTATTCTATTCTATTCTATTCTATTCTATTCCATTCCATTCCATTCCATTCTATTGATATATGGACCTCAACTCCCAGAATTCTTAAAACTGCTGAGATAGAGAAACTCTGATCTAAAAATCAATCAAACCCATTTCTATGGTTGCACCACGGTATCGGCTGTTTTAAACTTCTGTCCCCTTTCATTTTGCTTGGTCACTAAAAAAGACTTCTTGATTCCATTGTGAAAAGCTGTCCGTGTTCTAAGGAAAGGCAAAAAAAAAAAAATAGTGAAGGAAAACTTTTTCTTTTTCAAAAGACATAGGTTTTTTTCCTTCTCCAGTGAAGCTTTAAAAATGGAAAGACTTATCAATTCTACTCTTAATAATATTTTCAACCAATTTATCAGTGAGAGCGAGCAGTTAGGGTGGCTCGGCTATAATTCTTTTCATCCTACCTGGGCCCTTTTATAAAATGGTGTTGCTTCTGGTTCTTAAATACAGAGGCTGGGTTTTGTAAAGCTGCAAATTTTAGGTAATAGTTGGCAATTTCATTTCTGCACTGCTTAATAATCCTCCTGAATGCCACTAATTTTTCATGACTCATTATTTTTTAAAATGTCACCCTTTGTCACCTCTATTTGACACATTTCTTCTGAAGCACTACCTGGGAAAAAAGTGGTTTCATTTGCATACTTCTCCAGCATTTCCTAATGTGGAAACAAATGGAAACATTTAACTCTATTTGCTATAATTTTTTCTTTTTCTTTCTTTCCACTTTGGTATTTAATGGCCAAGCCTGCCTGGGCAGGCATTTCTATTCAGATGTAGTATTATTACGGATGTTTGTGATGTTTGTGTCAACTCTACAATGAACTTGGCTGCAGCCATCTTCCTCTTCATTCTAGGTTGGGAGGGGAGCTTGCCTAGGTGCTTCACTATCAAAATAATCTGTCCCATGGGAACCAAGGTCATCTACTGGTCCCGCGACCAGGGACTGGGCATTGTATAAGAAAGCCCGCCAAATGAATATATTGGGGAACGTAGTTGATTGCATAGTTTTGTGGGTGAGACATTGTACTTTGCAACTGGGAAATTATAG